AGCGCTTTAACGCTAACATTGATTCTAGTTGTCGTGGGAAACTTACTCACCATAACTATTTTTGCGAAGAACAAAAATATTCGCAAGAACTATTTGTTACTAGTTGTCAACATGGCGTTTGCTGATCTGTTCCTAGGAGCTTTGAGTTTACCAGTATACATTTACGATGTCGGGTATGAGTTCCACCTATGGACCACGTTCGTTGGAAACTTATGGACCAACAAGCCTATCTTAATTCCCTACATGATCATTGACACAGCTTTCTCGCAGGCTTCTCTTATTTCTGCAGTGTTCATAACGTGTGAAAGATTTTACGCCATACGTTGGCCTTTTAAGCATCGAACATTATCGACACAAGCATACCGCATAGCTATTTTCCTAGTGTGGATACTAGCTTTCCTTATTTCCGCAATCTGGACCGGTTCAAACTTACTATTTTCTTACAGGCACACTATGTTAATTTGGGGGCCATACACTTTGTTTTTCATTTTAATCACATGTGGCTGTAACATTGGTATTTGGAAAAAGTTTCAAACTGAAAGAGTCGCCGCTTCACATCAAGAAAGTCGAGACTTACAAAACAAGCGCTTAACAAAGACTTTGTTAATTGTATCTGGCCTTACTTTACTCGCTTGGCTGCCGCTAGTTTTGTTAAACTTACTCATGTATGTATGGTTTTTCCATGTACCAAAACGATTTTATCATGCGGTAAACCTTTTCAACTACTTCAACTCTTTTGTCAATCCAATTTTTTACGCATTAAGAATTGCTGAGTTTCGACGAGCACTGGCTCTATGTTGTACAGGAAGACATGTGCAAGCAGCTGTAAACACAAAGCTTTCTAAAAGAAGGAAAGAGAGGCACGGAACGACCGCTGAGTTTAGTCGTGAAGTGGCTTTCGAACAGAATGTTATGGATACTGAGTTTAGTCGTGAAGTGGCTTTCGAACAGAATGTTCTGGATACTGAGTTTAGTCGTGAACTGGCTTTCGAACAGGATGTTTTGGATACCAAAATGTAGAATACATCATTCAAACACATAATACTAAGTGAGGACTTTCCATTTCTCATTAAAGATATTGGACAATGGCAGAAAAGTAATAGTAAACATTGTAATTGAATAATAAAGAATCCGTAAAGATAAAGAGTTGGAACAGATGTACCAAATGTGTTTGCACAAAAGACTCCATATGGTCTAGGGTAGGATCACGAAAGAAACAGTTCAACAAATAAACTGTAAGATTAGTATACGATTACTGTAAGATAAGTATACGATTACTATAAGATTAGTATATGATCATGTGGAAAGAACAAAAAAGTGACACACGAGGCACAGCCGAGGATGTCATTAATCACGTTCTTACCACATGTTGACATCTTCTGTAATCTATTACTGTAGAGATCCATGGCAACGTGGAATATATTTGTCGTATATGACTAATATATACTCCTTCTACTCTGACAATAGATTATAACGAAGAACCAATCAAGATGCATGTATCATTCACTTTATCGATTCGATATTCATATGCAGTTGTTAAAATTTGGAGTGGAAAAGGTAATTAAGTGGCGATCTCTGTAAGAGCGGTCCTGGGCATTTCGCATCGGAAAAAAAGTTTTCCCTCAAACTTTGCCCAATAAACTATCGGTAACTATTTGGTAACAAGTAAATAAAACCCCATTAGTTTCTGGAAATACGTTAGAATAACATTTTTAGAGCTCTCAAAAGTCAAAGCTGCAAAAGGCCCTTTTTTGACCTCTTGCGACATCGAAAATTCAAAAGTTTAATAGCCCGGTCCTCGTATCACAACGCATGCAGCAAAAAATATTTTGTATTCTTAAAGTGTGTGATACATAAGGTGTATGAAATGCATTTCAATTTTGATATTCGTTTATTCAGAGGCTCGTCATAATTAATTTAAAAACACTCGTTGGACAGCTTTCTGAAATTGGTTAAAAGTACTCATTTTGTCTCCGCTACACAACAAATAACACAGTAGTGTACACCAAATAAGTTTATTTAGGGAAGCCTGCCGAGAACCAACCCGAGGCATATATAGCCCGGGGCATGCATACATACATTCGCAACTGACATACCATATAAAATCCTGATATACAGTCAATTCCTTACACATTAAAAAAAGGTATACATTACTAACATGCAAACTTCACCAAGTCTGGATTAACAGAGATGGGCAACCGCTTACAAGGACATAACTACAGTTGGCAGCCCATCCTACGAGGCTTCACAGCTAAAGAAAATATGTTTTCAAACTAAAATAAATTTGTCATCAGCCAGAGGTGAACGGTTGGTTCTGAGGCCTAGATGGACACCACGTGCTATACTTTCCTTTATATACCACTGCATCATTACCCATGATGCTCGGGCCTAAGGCCCAGGCCTTGTCGTATCTCGTGCCGACAAAATATTTATTTCTGCCTTATTCGCAGAATCATTCGTCAGAAATACCATTTTCTTTCTTGGTTGATATTGCTCAAGTCCAGACCAGACTATTAAAAACTCCGCTTGATTTCTGCTGATAAGATGTTTGGCTGCAGAAAAATATAAAAACATCTTGCACGTATTGATTTTCTTCGCCGAGGTGACTTCGAACTTTTAGCGATATTGCTAGCGCGACAGCCGATTATGCAAATTAGTTCATTGAGCAAACTCCGACCGTTTTATGTGAGTAGCTCAATGAATCTTAGATTTTAACCATTTTAAGTAGACAATATAGTAGGACAGAGCTTTAAGACCACACCGATTAATACTTTAAGCATTTTAAAAAGCCAAAATTTGACTATTTTTATTATCTCGTGACGAAAGACGTCAACAACAACGTATCGAATATCATAATTTGATTAGCGCTCGCAAACTCTTTAAAAAATTTGGTTTCTGTTATTTCATATTTGAGTTCTGATGGCTTACGCTATTCAAACCTGTATAAACATTTCAAAATTAAACTACAGGATTCTATTTAGTGTAACCGGCGATAACAGCACACACTGAAATACACCGTAACCAGTGACTCTGTCACGTAATTCCTTCGTGTAATTGTCCCGAATACTTCTCACGTCTAAATAAAGCAGCGATTTCTCGGATTTCTAGCTGAAAGGGAAAAAATGATATTTGGTCGTCACATCTGTCTGCATAACAGTCTCTGTTCATAAGTTTGAAGAGTTCTTGTAAAAAAAGATATCGCATTCGCATAACGGGTGGACGTCATAACTAGATTGCATAACAACTGCACTCCGAAATCCATTTTTGCAAGAGGTGCTGCATTTGTATCTTGCATTTTGAATGCGAGATCAAAATGTTCGCACATGTCTCTTAGCATCTTGACTTTGTGTTACGGGAAAATTTACTGATTTTCCCGTGTGTGTTATTCGGAGCATATTTATTCGTAAACTTTTACATTTAACCATTTCAAGTCCTTTCATTTTAATTAATCAAAAAATGTATAAAAACCACAGTAG